GTGTCCCCGTCAGCAGGCACCGCAGGGCCTCGGAGCCCGCCCGGCGCCGCCGCCGGCAGCGGGCAGCGCGCGGCGCGCTCCGTTGTCGCCGCACTGATTTGGCGCCGCGAGCCCCCGCGCGGGCAGAGGGGCTGTGCGGCCCTACCCGCGCGTCGGCTGCTGGCCGTGAGGCGTCAGGAAGCGGATSCTGAGCCGCGGAGGGCCCCGCGTCCCGAGGCGGAGGCCGTTGGGGTTTGTGCACGGCCTTGCTCCTGTGGCGGCTCGGAGTGACGTTAGGGAAGATCGGTGCGTGTGACCGTGCAGAGGCTGTCAGGCGTCCGGAGGGATGGATGGAGAGGGCAAGCAGGGCTTACACCCAGTGAGGCTGGGTGTAAAACTGCGCGGGCACTAGTATTGTTGAAGGGTACGCAGCAGCGTGAGAGGGTGTCAGGTCATCCCTGCGCCCCGGGAACGGGAGCGGGACAGAGCCTTCCCTGGCGTGTTTTGGTGATGCCGCTGTGAGGGCTGCCGGGGCGGAGCGGGGGGCCCTGGAGCCCGGGTTTGGGGACGGGCCTGGGGCAGCGGGTGCTGGTGGTGACGGGCGAGCAGGGCGCTCGGGGTGGGCAGGGGCTGCAGGCAGCGGCCCCCGGGCGCTCAGCGCGGCCTCGCTCGCCCCAGTCCCGCTCTCGGAGCGGGAGCGGCTGGAGCACCGGCCGGCGCTGCCCAGGGCGCTTTCCAGGCAGGAGCCAAAAGCCTCCGGGCGCCAGGGCAGAGCCTCTGCAYGCTGTGGTGCCCTGGGGGCTGCCCGGGAGCCAGGCCAGAGCTGCTGCCCTGGAGCTGGAGAACCCGCCGAGCCGTCACTGTGCCCCTGTCGAGGAGCCTGGCTCCGTCTCCTCTGCCACCTCCCCTGAGCCGTGCGAGGTTGTGTTTGCTCTGTCCAAAGCCATCTCTTCCACAGATATCTCCACTGCTCCTTGCATGACAAGTGTTCCAGGCACCGTCCGTCTCCCATGGCTGAGCTTGCYCTTGTGTGTCGTTGGCAACCTTTATTGGATGATACCTGGGTGAGATTTTATCAGGCACAGAGCAGAGGCAGATAGACCCTTCGCTGAGCGACTGGCCATACTCCTGCACAGCCCACGGTGCTGCTGCTGCTTGTGGGCTCYGCTGCTGAGCCCAGTGCTGGCTCGTGCCCAGCTTGGTGCCTGCCGGGCTCCACAGGGTCTCCTTGGCTCCCTGGCTGCCCACTCCTCCATCCCTAACATTGCAGGGTCTCTCCAAGCGCAGGGCTCTGCCTTTGTCCTTCATTTTCATGAGGTTGTTGTCAGAATCCCTCTGTCTGCTGAGGGCCCCCTGGATGGCAGCCCTGCCCCCAAACATATGGATCATGTCACCCCAAACATGTGGATCGCTTCACTCCAAACGTATGAATTGCTTCACCCCAGCGGTACCTTTCGCCTTCTCTAGGTCACTGATATGATGCTGAGCAGGGCAACGTAACCCACATCTTTCTGGCCTCCAGGCAGAATGTGCCTCACTAGCCATCGCRCTCTGAGCTCAGCCATCCCACTGTTTTTTTGGTTTTTTTTTTTTTTTTTTTAACCATCCATCAATCCAGATGAAACTCTCCTAACTTGGATACAGAAATATTGTGAGAAATAGTGTTGAAAGCCTTGCTTAAGTACATGACCTCTGCTGCTGTCCTCTTGACCTCAAAACCTTTCCTTTTATTGCAGAGTACAGTCAGGTGGGTCATGGGTGGTTTGTATGTGGCATGATGACAGTTTCTAGTCACCTTGTTAAATATGCTCCGTGGGGACCCGATCCATGGCTTTCCAAGGGGCCCAAGTGAGGCTGACGAGGCAGCTGTTCACCGAGTTGTGCTTTGGGGCATTTTGAAGATGAGCTCAACATCTGTTTTCTTCTGGTTATCAGAGATCTCCCTGGCTTTCCAAAGGTAATAGAGCAGCCTACAGGAGCACGATCCAGCTCTTAGCACTTGTTAGAGCCTGCCTGGTTCTGTGTGTGTCTGCAGACCTAGTCCTGTCAAGCAGCTCCTAACTTGCTTGTCATCTGCTGCTGGTTGTTCCCTTCCCTGTGACCCATGTTCTTAAGCAGGAGACTTGGTGTTGGAGACTGAGGCAAAGAAGACGTTGAGCACCTGAACCCTACCTGTGTCACAAAATCACTCGCTCCATTCGGCAGCAGCCTTGATTTTATCTTGTGAAGACTTTTATTACCTGTGTAGCATTAGGAGCTCTTGTGACCTTTGTCTTTGCAAGCTGCAGATGAACTTTGGCTTTTCTGATACTACCCCAAAACACTTAGGCAATATTTCTAAGTCCTCCTTGTTAGCCTGCCCTTGCTTCTGCCCCGTGTGTTATTTTCTGGCACAAGAGCTTCATGTTTCTGCTTAGTCATGCCAGCCTCCTGATGCATCTACTTGTCTTCCCAGGTATCAGGATTGGGTGTTGTGGTGATCGGGAGCAGGACTTGTAGTCCAGCCAGCTTTCCAGCAATCTTTTGCGCTTCAGAGATAAATACCTTAGGATCTCCTTTCCCAGTTTCCCGAGATCATGGAGTCTCCCTACTTCATGTCCTGGGTCTGTGCTCTGCTGCCCTCCTTCTTCAATCCTTGCATAATCTCAAACTCTTCCACGATTATTACCAACCAAAGCTGCCACAAATTACTGCTTCCCCAGCCAAGTTTTCCTGGTTAGTGAGTAGCAGATGCCGCTGTGTGTCATACCACCTTGGCCCACTCAGTACCTTTATGCAAAAGTTCTTCCCAGCACAGTGCAGAAATCTTCTAGACTGTTTGCATCATCTAGAYTGCTGTAGCGTTCTTCTGGTAAGTGTCAAATAGGTTGAAGTCCCTCATGAGAATCAGCATCTCTGATCCGTTGTTTTCTAGTCGTTTAAAAGAGGTTTTGTCCCATACCTCGCTGTGATCCCTCTTACTTGCCCCTTGTGTGATCCTGAACCACAGGCTCTCCCATGGAGTCTCATCCTTCTCATTCAGCATTGCCATGTGTCTGTGCTCTCAGGTAGTAAGCCAAACTGCCACATCCTCCCTTACTACATCTTACAAGGAACATCCTGAAGAGCATCCATCCATCCATCCATCCATCCATCCATCCATCCATCCATCCAWCCAACGCTCCATTAGCCTGCTGCTGTGTCTTTCCAGTGATGTTGTAATTCTCTGATTGCAGACAGATCTCTAGTGACTCCTGCTTGTTTCCTGGGTCGTGTGCCTTTGTTTATGGATATTTGAACTTGGTACCTGTCTGCTCTGGGTTAACATCCCTTTCTGTGCTGATTTACTACTTCCTGATCTGATTGTATTGTAATGTCCACCCCTCTCATTTCTGATTTGAACTCTGGCCAGCATGTTCAATCTGACAGTAGTTTTTTGTGATTCACAGTGTTTTTGAGATTTTTTCTTCTTCCTCCTCTGTAAGATCCAGTTGTACAGTAGAGTACTGTTTGAACTGGCAGTTGTAGGGCTTCTCCAGCTTCCTGGGCTCTTSTGATGCCTGAGAAGGGTGTGCTAGAGCAGACACCCTTGCATCTTGGTACTGTCTTTTGAAAGCAAGTGCTTATATTGGCCTTGTTAGGGAGAAAGATGCTGTCGGTTTGCTGAGAAAATGTGACCTGGAGGAAGAAGAGTAAGTAAAGTTTGTAGATGTAAAGGAATAATAAAGCAAGTTTAAAATCCCAAATATAGTATTTGTGAAGTGAGTGAAATTTGAGCTTACTTTAGTGCTRTGCTTTAGTACATTTGGAAGCTTGAACCGTTTTATTAAATTATGGAAAGTAACACAAATTCTGTGCAGAACMCTGAAATGTACATCTCAGTTTTGAGGTTTTTCTTCATGTAAGAAGTTTTACTGTCCAGTATGCTTTAAACTATACTTTTTTTTGTTTGTTACTGGGAAACTACTGAGTTTATCTTAAAAATAATAGTTGTTATTTCTGAAAATCAAGCTAGTGTGTTTTTAGCTAATGTGTTTAGCATTCTGCACAGGCTTTGACTTGAAGTTTATGTCACAATAATGCATTATTTTGTTCCTGTTCAGGGTGTTGAAACCTGTAAACTGTATATTGCTATGTAGGTGTATTAGACCTGACATTTCATTTTCACAAACCACCTTCCTTTTCCATTGCTGTAGAATTTGGCAAGTCACCTGTAAACCATGTGTGGAAATTCTTTTTCCTGAAAAGGGGGGAACGTTATTGGGTAGCTTTTGTAATCATTCTGATTTATAGTTTACAACCTTAGGAGTCCTTTCTGTGATCCGCCCTCTATCTTTATCCATTTATTGTGCATTTTGGGGCCATTTTCTTTATAAAATGATGAAGATGATGAGATAGTTAGAAGATTGCACCCGCTGTTTTTGTCTGTAAAGAGCAGTGACAGCCAGGGTTTTACAGGGGTTTGTTTTGTTCTCCCTTTCCTTTGCTCCCGTGCACTTGCAGGAAGTTGGCAGGATGCACACTCTTCATCACGGGTGCGAGCCGGGGCATTGGCAAAGCCATCGCCTTGAAGGCTGCCAGGGACGGTGCCAACGTTGTCATAGCTGCCAAGACAGCCGAGCCCCATCGCAGCCTCCCGGGAACCATCTACACTGCTGCCAAAGAGAGTAAGTCGTACCAGATGAGCTTGGATGGGTGGGTCCATAATCCTAGCTTCATATCCACGAGTGGAAGTGTCACTTCATGAGAAGTGAACTGGGTGCTTTAATGGGCAAGGTCAACAGCTTGAGACTGTCATTTCCACTGTCTTCTTGAAAGATGTAATTGAATGAGAGATTCTTAGTAATCTGCTTTTTTTTGTTCAGTTTGAGAGCAAATTTTTAAAAGTCTTGTTTTCTAACTATGCAGTTGAAGAAGCTGGAGGAAAGGCACTGCCATGCGTTGTAAATGTGAGGGAGGAAGAACAAATTATTAAGGCTGTGGAGAAGGCTGTGAAGACTTTCGGAGGTATGTTAGGGTATAGGGAGAAGCTACTTGTTAAMAGACAAATTTTTCAAATTTTGGAATAACAATAACAAAGTAAGCTTATTCGTGCATTGTATCCTAAAATTATGGTGTGAGACTATTTCTTTTTTTAAACCAGGCATTGATATTCTGGTGAACAATGCAAGCGCCATCTCTTTGTCCGGCACTTTGGAAACAGAGACAAAGAAGGCCAATCTCATGATGGATGTCAATGTTCGAGGAACCTACCTTACGTAAGTGCTGAGATAGGGCAGCAGGAGTGGTTACGGAAAACAGAGTTTTACTCTGGTTTGTGCTATCTCATTACCTAGTGTTCAAGTGAAAGTATTGTACAGAATCATGTAAAATTGCTCAGTTACTGCCTGATTGTTTGAAATTAACATTTTCAAGAACTAAGTGGCACCTGTTGGTTAGAACAAGTAATGAATGCAGAAGAAATGAATTTCTTTTTCATGGGGAGTTGCCAATGACATTGCTGTTGTTCCGAATAATGTACCTTTAGTAGCAGTAAATCTGGGCCTTGCTGCTGTTGTCACTAAAGACTCTTAAGCCCCCTCTGCAGGTAGCAAACAGATAGACTAGTGTGTTTCTGTCAAATGGAGTTGCAGCATGGCTTTGATAAATGCTGTCTGTTCTCTTATTTCATTCCAAGCAAAATGGTTAACTGTGTGTGAACTTTAGCTGCAGTTTCTTCTTTGACACCTTCCTTAAGTATCTTGAGAGCCAGCAAATAACATAAATAACATAAACATTCTTTGAACATATTCTTCAAAGTACTGGTGTTTTTAAAATCAGTGAAATGATTTGTCATTGAAGGAGTTAAAGAATACATTGCATAGCACTCTTCTGAACTAGCAAGACACCTGCACAATATGTGGAAGGCGAGTGAGTGAGAGAAATATACTTGCAGAGTTGATTTTTTACATCCACTCCATGTTGTTTACTTCTGAAAGTCTGTAAGTGGTTCAGTGCTCACAAGGGAGGATTGTCTTCGCAACCTGGTATTCAGTAAAACCTCTTGCTGGATCTCTGGGTAGGTTCCATGGTTATTGGCAAACTCCTTTTTATTGATTTGCTTGTTTAYTTATTTATTTTTATCCTCAGCAGTGGCACTTTCTTGAGGGTGACATTTAGCTATTCCAAGTTAGGGGAGTACTCTTAAAGTCATCTTTTAAAGTCATACAGAAAAAAAGCATGTTGCTGCAAATGGAAATATGCATGAAATATGACTGCCTCTCAAGGGAATTTGCAGATGGTCTTTGTCATTGCTTTTATAAGCAAAAATTGGGAAAACGTAGCCAAACATTTCAGCCTTTTCTTCATCTTGCTCTGTATGTAGATTTGGTCAGTAGTTCCAAGAGATTTGTTATCAGTTTAATGTTGAAAATATTATACTACCTATAAAAATTGGTGGGTTTTTTTTTTTTTTTGGTGCTGTAGCAGAGGTATGGCAAACCTCTCATCTTGCAGAATATATCTGTTGGCGTGCTGTCAGCTCATGTACCTTAARCCAATGTGAATCATCTCTTAGTGAACTTCACACTGTTGCTGAAAAAAGCGCATTTAAAGAAGTGATGAAAGATAGTGTTTAATTTAATGACACTGCTGTTGTASGTATCACTTTTGTGGCCAACACTAGGCATGTATCCTGCTGAAATGTATATAAATATACRTATTTATAAATGTATAAAGTGGACCACTGTCCACTTGATTTTGTCCACTTTGATTTAAAAAATTGATTGATTTCTAGCACAGATTAAATATAAACATGTATCTTAGGTGCACAGTGACAGTCTCTTATATAAAAGTGAGAGCTATGATTTACAGGGACATGTTCCTCTTTTGCACTGTAAATTCTAAGTAAAAATAGGTGCCTCTTCCAGTTAGCAGATAATAGATTTCCAGTATTGCTTGGAGTGAATTTCGTTACACACTATTATTTCTGTAACATGATTTTAAAGAAAAAATGTTGTGCAATTAGAAGAGATGATGTATTTATGATTATAAGACACACTGTGCTGATAACTTGACTATAGTTTTGTTGTATTAACCAAAATTATTATAAGGAAATGATGGCTTCTGAGCATTTGGAAAATGTGCTTTTACTAGCTGCAGCAGCACTGGAAGATGTGACCCAATTTGCAGGTGCAACTAACTGTTCTAGAGAATGAGATAGGCCGGATTTTTATTTACTGTTGCTGTTCTTTGTGTGAGTTAATCAAATAATTGGAATGAGGGCAGAGTTTTAGCCTAGTGACAGACCTTTGCRTAAATGGAAATAGTGGTGGGTCTGATAGAAATTTTTTACCTTGTTCTGACTTCTACCCTTAGGTCTAAAATATGCCTTCCTCACTTGAGAAAGAGTAAGAACGCCCACATCCTGAATCTCAGCCCACCGCTTAATATGAATCCCGTCTGGTTCAAAAATCACTGTGGTAGGTAATGTTCAGTGTCTTTTTTATTTTATTTTTTATAACTCCATTAAAAACAGATGAAATGTGCAGGAGTGACAGTTCTGGATGCTAGGTCTTGTATATTTAGCTATAAATATGTACTGGCACTAACAGTTCTTCAGTATATTCTGTGCCTTGCATGAAAAGAATTGTTTTGGCAGGAGGTAATGCAGGTTTCATGGCCCAGTATGTCCTTTAAAGTTTTGAAGAAAGCTATGTAGGTAAGAATTGCTGCTGCTTATGGGGAATTCAAGATGATTTCTGTTCCAAACGGAGATAGCGAATTGATATCGATTTTCTTACTGTTTCAGTTTTCCATTTGATTTAGTAGAAATAAAACTCAATGGTTGACTTTTAAAATTAGAAGTAATTCTGATGAAGAAGTGAGTTCCCTATTCTGTTTTGAAATTAAAATATACATTGTTCCTTTCAAACCTGTACCTTTCAGTGGTGGACAGTTGCACTCCAGCATGGGACTGTTGTCATAAATTCCCACATCAAGGCTCGCTCCTTTCTCTTCCTTTCTGGAACATAGCAGGAGGGATATAGAGTTACTTTGTTTTAGTTACTTTCTTTCTTCCTTTCATTCCCTCCCCCCCCACACTCCGCATAGATCATTAGTCTGGTCGTAAGCAGTTTGGGGTCTTGTGCTTTGGTTTTTTGGAAAAGTCTGATAGCTCTGTCACAGTGCTCTGGTAATGAMAAAATAATGTGCAGTTAAACTTCAGTCATTGATTTGGTTTGTTAAAATCATAGCTTACGTTTTAATCCTAGACAAAAACATATGGCAGACTAGCTCAGGTCTGATAGTGTATGTATATTTTTAGTCTAGCAATGTGCCATTTTGTCCTAAGAGACTTACCTTTCCTCATGAACCAGTAACTTTTCTGTTCTCAGTAATTAAAAGTTTGAACTTGAATATCCAATTTTTATCATACCAAACACTGTTTTTGCTTTTCTTCATACTTTTCATTTTAGCTTACACCATTTCTAAATATGGGATGTCCATGTGTGTCTTGGGAATGGCAGAAGAATTTAGAGGAGAAGTTGCTGTCAATGCTTTATGGCCTAAAACAGGTGATTTTTTTTTTTTTTTGTGATACTAATAACTAATTTTTGTATTTTATCTTGTATGGCATGATTTATTTGGCTTTGAGTAAACTTTAGACTATATTGAAATTAATTCACAATATTGAATAGCTCTCTTGTATGTTCTCTGTTCATCTCATATAGGTGGTGTTATTTATTCAGTAAATATCAGTAGATAAAAGCCACTTGGACTCAAACTGATCTTTGGCCAGTTGATTGCAAACCATTCAGCCCTTGTGGCTTGCCTGTGCTCCCTCTCAGGTGCCCTGAGTTCTGGTTTGTATGGAATCACTAAAATGCTAACATGCTTAGATTAATGTGCATCAAACATCTGTATGTAGTAATGCTTAGAAGTCCTTGGTACTTAGTTTAGAAAGATCTAGATGGAGCTGATATAGCTATATAAGTGGAGCAGGGCCAGGGGTGGAAATTCCAGTATTTTTATGCGTACTAGTGCAGCAGTTTTTCACAGAACCCCCTGGCTTTGCCTGCTGCTCGTAGGAAATCAGAGTGCATGCCCAGGCACCATCACGTGCAAAGGTTCAAGACTTTTTCTCTATGGTTATCATACTGGATCTGTACTTTGCAATTTAGTTCCTCCTCCCGCCTCAAGAAAGAGAGAAAGAGTGGCTTTTGAATTGAAGGAAGATTCAGTTTACAAATGGCAACATCATATTGTAATTCGTCTTTGTTCATATAGTTCTTTCTCTGTGAGATGCTGCAAATTTAAAAAGACATGAAGCTTTCTACAAGGCCAGAAGTTCTCCATGCAGAGGGAGATCTGTGTTGCTAAATCTTTTCTTACTCATTCAGGTTAAATGTTAGAAACATTATACATAAATTCTCTTAAGTTTTTATAAATGAGTGATGCTTCCATGACAACTATTACTATGCCCTCTATACTGTAGGAGGGGATAATAATGATGATTGTCTAGAATAAGCCAAAGTTTCAAAACTGTTTATGTATAAAAGTGAGGAAGTTAACTGCTTCCATGTGATCATACATAGAGATATGAGAGTTACAGATTTAGATATCACATTCTGTGAAATGAAAAAATCTACTACAATCTCTTACGAATGTGATTGGGCTCAGCACTGGTGGTTATTACTTTACTAGTATGGATAGGAACTCCTTGATATTGGTTAATCAGACTGTTTAGGATAAACTAATGTTTGTTAAATACATCAAAATGTGCTGGCAGAAAGACAGCAGGAGCTCTCTGCTTCCCCAGAAATAAGAGGGAGCCTCCTGACTGGAGGAGGGGAGACCTCCTGCCCAAGTGTGGCTCTGTGTGAACAGCAGATGTGTGCTGGGAGCCGTAGGGTACACATGTGTGTGCACGGAGTCGTAGGGYGCACGACTCTCCGTGTGCTTTGATTGAAGAAGAGTGGGCACTTTCTGCGACGCAAGGAGAAGGATGCGCAGTGAGAAGGCAAAGCGGGAGCTGCTCGGAGCCCTTGTGCCCGTGTCAAACGGAGCAATGTCAGCTGGTGACAGGAGAGTGACTCTGGGAGGGCGAACGGGTTAGTGTGTCCTTACGGACTGGAAAGTGTTCATCAGCTGTACCTGGAATGTTTGGTTAGAGGGTGTGACTGGAACCATCGCTTAGCCATAAAGTTATCTAAAAAAAAAAAAATTCAAAAACATGGCACAGGTAGTATCCCAGAGGACCAAAACGAGGTTCATGTCTTTTTCTCCTTTTGGAAGATGAGGGAAATTGTGTGTGTTTTGTGTACTACACTAATTTGTGTGGAGTAATTTGTGTGTATTGCCGTGTACTGTATGTATTTGCCATCTGTCTTGGATAGGTTTCCATTATAGCACAGGCAGTTTTGCTGATTTTAAAATAAGAAAATTAGATTGATCAAAACTATATGAAATCTAATCCTCATCACAGAAGGGTAAAATAAGCCTTGAAAAATGAGTAGACCAGATCAGCCACTTCTCCAGAACACCCTTTGAGTAGGATCTCCCTAGCAGCATTTAAGACTGTCTTTTCTTTTCCCTGTTCTTACTGGGAAGGTGAATGATGCATCGAACAGATGAATTCTGTGCAACACCTGTTCTTTGCTTGTTAAAGGATATTATCATCATTTCTGCATTGCAGCTGCTGTTTGTATAGAGGGTGAGCACTAGATGGAGGACAAAGTGTTCCTAAGATCTGGTTTATCCTTCCAGCTCCCGGACCTGCCGACCTCTGCTGTAGGAAAGAGTTTGTGAATCCACCCTGGAACAGAAGGGAGGGACAGAGTCTGTTGAATCTTGAACCATAGATGGGAAGAAATCATAAGGCAAAACTGTATGATAGAAAGCCAATAATATGGCAGGTGCCAAAAGCTTGGAACACAAAAAGCCTTTTTTGTGTGTGTAGAAGAGGATAAAAGTAAAGTGAAGTAGATGCCTAAATTTGGAAGTGTCAGTTAAAGGCTAGTTAAAATATTTAGTGCCACAATGTTAACTTTTCTGTGAGGAAAAGTAAGGAAGACAATGGAACGGTTCAGTAGTTAGTAGAATTAGCTAATATCAGAACCAAAAGCACAGGAGACCTGAGATCATCCTTTCTGTGAAGTATTGAATAAGTTATTCAAACCTTTCCTATTCAGTTTCTCATCTTTATTTGACAGTAGACATTGCTATCTCACAAGATTTATTGCAAGGTTGAAATTAAGCAAGGAGACATTCAACATGGCTGTCACAGAATAAAACACCGATTGATTACTGATACCATACATTCATTCTGAGAAGGATGGTTATTCTGTTATTTTTTCATGTCCAGAATAATCTGGAAGAATCCATGAGGGAAAAGRCTAGTGCAGATGCATGTACAGTGATGAGTGGGATGTGTTAAGATGCCTTTCCACATTATTATTCTTTGTGGTTCTGTAAATAGCTTTTGTTTTTCACTGGCACTTGAAAAGAATTATTTGTTGGTTGGTAGCATTGCATTTCTTTGTCTTCTATTCTTTCCTTTCTTGTTAAAGAAGAGTAATGTTGGTTAACCTGTCGGGCAAGAGATGGGAATACATAGTCACCAATGGGTGTTTTCTTTTTCTTTCCAGCCATTTATACAGCTGCTATGGACATGCTGGGAGGAAGTGGAGTAGAAAAACAGTGCAGGAAAACTGACATCCTTGCAGATGCTGCATATTGCATCTTAACAAAACCAAAAACCTTCACTGGAAACTTTGTTATTGATGAAACTCTCTTGAGAGAAGAAGGAGTTAAGGACTTTGATGTCTATGCAATTGCACCAGGTAAAACAGTTCCTTCAGTTGCGAAGTTCAGTAAGGAAGGCTATTTCGGATAGCAGGGGTTTGTTCTGTTTTCTTTTGGTGATTATGGTGGCGTTATTCATAGAGATTATTAAGTTTGTTCTGTAATAAAGTTCTTTTAGTTCTTTAGCTCTTTTGCCTCAAATTCAGAAAAYGTGTTTCTGGAAACTAAGGCTGTAATCATTAAGTGCCTGTTAAATAAAAACAATCCATTAAGAAGCAGGAAATGCACTATGTAGAGTATGTGTATACATTATACGTGTGTGTAAATATTACTATTTATCCTCTGTTAAGATGATTTCTGTTCTTATTTGTGTGATTTTCATTGCAAACTTAAGAATTCTGATTTGAAATGAAGGAAAATCTAAAAARTCAAATGTATGACTTTGCCTTATTGCTAGCCTGTTTTTCCTTCAGACTACRGTTTTATTTATTTGCAAAATACAAAATTTTGTGAATAGAAAATTTCATACAAAATTGGTTCTCACTCATGCAGTACTATTGGACTTTATTTGGAATTTTTTTTTCACCCCACTCTACTTTAGGTCACCCTCTGTTACCTGACTTCTTCTTGGATGCTGAGCCTGATGTGATTGGAATGAAACTAGAACAGCATGGTAGGGAAAGCACTGTATATAAAAGTTGGTCAGTGACTATTGTATCTGATCATATTTAATGTCATTCATATTTCAGTTATTTTTGTTTTCTCACAAGTGCTTGGGCTGCAGTCAAACTAGTTTACAAAACATTTTCTCATTTGGCGTGCATAATTTATGGAAGTGTTGCAGTGTGTCTATACTTCATGTTTAGAAATAATGTTGTCTTCCACAGGACTTTGATTTTTATATGATGGAAGTTTCAGTGCCCTGCTTTTAAAAATCCTATTTTAACTATTGGAATTTCAAAGTTGTAGTAGGAAAAAAAAATAAGTAGCAAAAAGCACATTTTGCAGAATAGTCATATGATCTATCCGATTTAAAAAAAAAAAAAAGTGAAGCAGAGCATCCATTGCTTCTTAGATGAATATTAAACGATTTAGACATATGTGTATGTCTGATAGGTGAACTAGTAGAAAAATCTTTAGAAAATCATTAGTTTTGGTGTTTTGAAAGCTGTAGTTTGAATGTTAGAGGGCAAATAAGAATTYTGGATAGATTTTACGGGAGTCTGAAATTACATACAACAGAAAGGTAGAAGGAGGCTGTATTGGAACAGATCATCTCCTTTATCTTTAGAATCAGTACATTATGTATTATCAGGAGAATTGTAAACACACTTTGTGAGCAGATATTTCTGTTAAAGAAAAACAAGTATTTTGCATTTTACAGAGACAAGAATTTATTTCTTGTAGGTGCTTCTCCAGTACTCAAAGAGGAAAAGAAATCAAGTCGACCTAAACATGAAGGACCAGATGGAGCTAAGGTTAATTTAGAACCTGCTTCAGCCAAGCCGCTGAGCCCTGTTGCAGAAACATTTAGAGTTATCCAAGGAGCAATAACTGAAGATTTTGTGAAGGCTATTCAGGGCGTCTTCCTGTTTGAATTATCTGGTAAGTCTTTTATTTATTAAATCTTCACATGCTCACGTTTATAGCAAAATGCCTTTGGCATTGTCATATAGAAACAAAATGGCTTTTGTCACACTCTGTGTAATACTACTTAACAGGAACAACTTCAGTGAATGTAGGAATTGCTGCTCCTGCCTTTGGGTTCTTCTGCACATGTCCCCTGATAGGTGGTGGGGATAGAGGGCATCTGCAAAAGGCTGGATTTGCCATATAGAAAGTGTGGGGAAGATGCAAATTTCTTGCGAAGCACTTCAGGGTGAAATGCAAAATGTAAAAATAAAATAGCTGTCTTTCCTGCATGGTCACATGTTCTCGCTGCTCTGTTGAGGTGATGATGGAGGCACTTGGTACATTGACCTGAAGACCAAAGGTGGGAGCGCTGGCTCGGGCAAGCCCCCTGTGAAGGCTGATGTGGTTATGAGCATGTCAAGTGCCGACTTTGTGAGGATGTTCACAGGTGAGTGACAGACACATTTAACAAAGAGGGGGCAGTTGCTTGTGCCTAGAAGTCATTTGAATGACTGATTAATAAGCCTTCCTTATGGGATGAGATACGGACTTTGTGTGGCTCAAGTAAAGGTAGGAAATAACTCCTTTGATCTTTCTTAACTCTTACAGTCTGACAATAAAAAGACGATACAAATTTTTACTGCTCTATTAAGTAGCTGTAATTTCTTTTGTGGTGGGTGCCGCATCAGAAATGGCTCGGTCAGGCTGCTGAGCTTTTTTCCACCCATGTTTAGTATTTGTCCTGCATATTCTGAATATACATACTGYTTTCAGAGAGCGCCCAAAGCATTTGCTTTATTCAGATGCACTGATACAGCAGACAATGAAGGGTTTCATTTTTGCATTCATGCCTTACATTTTTGGTTGTTCTTGAAATAACAAATAATCTCCTTTTGCATCCCCACATTTAATTCCTGCTAATAAAACTAATAAATAAGATGTGATTCTTATGGAACTTTGTAGCAAAATAAACTAGTTTGTTTSTTTTCTCCTTCTGCCCAAAGCCCAAGTCATATGATCCTGGCTCAGTTGAGATCATTTGTAATCTAATCTTCAGTTAAGTAATAGCATACAAAAGCTGATGCAATTCTGTGCTCTTTGTGAATTTGTTTTATTTGTGGAAAATACTTCAATAGTGAAAACGGCAGGATGTCATCCTTTCTGTAATGTTTTGAGACTATATCATAATTCTGATTTTCAGGTTTATCACTATTCAAAATCTTTGAATAGCTCCTCTAGTAGGACTCGGGGAAAAAAAAGTCAAAAGATGTAGATTAATTCTGATAAAAGAAACTCTTAAGTTTGATTTATTTGTGTTTAGTATATAGATAAAAATACCAAATTTTTATCAAAGAGAAATGCCTAAAGAACTGGTAGATTTCCTTGTAATGATATCACTGTTTCCTGTGTGACTGCTTCCTGATGGATTTGTTTCCTCTTTTTAGGTAAACTAAAGCCAACCATGGCCTTCATGTCAGGAAAATTAAGGATCAGTGGTAACATGGCATTAGCAATGAGGCTGGAAAAGATGCTGGTACAGCTCAACTCCAAGCTGTAAGGGGAAAGGCTTACTAGTAGAACATTGGCCTTTCAAATAAAACCGTAGTGCTGTTTTGAAATGATAATTCTTGCTTTGATACAACATAACATGTATATACAAAATGTGAAATTTTTATAGAAAAAATAACTCTGATTAAGACAAGATGTTTGTGGTTATACAGATTACTTCTCTAAAATATACTTGCTAGGCTGCAGATACTTCATTTATTCTCTCTTCCTCAGGATTGTTTTGAGTCGTGGTTGTTGCCTTTGTGATGAGGGGCATCTGGATTTTCTTACAAATGTCAGTTTTCTGACAGGCTTATGTAAGTGCCATGAAGAAAGTCCTGTGCTGGTTTGGAAATGGAAGCAATATTGTCACTTTAAGGAGGCTAAATCCCTGTATTAAAAGGCCACCTCAGTAACTCTTCTGCTTTCCAGGTTCTTGTAGCTCTGGATTGCACTGTGCTGTGCTGCAGAGACATACCCTGGGTGATATGTGAGTGTTCTCTCTGTGCAAGGGCTGTGTGCTTTCTGCCACAGGTAGKCAAAGGGCAGAGAAGTGCTGAAAAGACAGAACAAATTTTAATTAATGCACCACGTAGCCTCTCACGTTAATGTGATTATTCTAGCAACACTGCATTTCTCAATGCTGTCAGTGTTAGAAGCTGAATTTAAGATGAATGTTTCAGCCAAATTCAATGTGCCCAGAAAAACTCTCAGATTATGTTGTTCGGTTTCAAAATGTTTTTAACCCTTCAGTCACATAGCAGTGTTTTAAAAAGGAGTATTTTAAACATACAAAAAAGCATTTTTGTGACATATTGAAGTAACAGCACTGTTCATCAAGGTGCACAATTATTAACAGTGACGAAAATAATATCTTGTAGAGCATAGTATCAAGAGACCTATGTTTCATTCTTATTTCTGCCCCTGGCCTGCTAGGTGATCATGGATAATTGTCTTTGCCTCCAGATACCTCACTTTCTGTCTAAAAAAGATTATGTTTGTGCCTCTTTCTAAAATGCACTTTTGGTAAAAGCCATGCTTAAGCCTTGAGTGTTACTGTAATACTAAATGAACAACACTTTGTTTTTCTTTATAACTTTCTATAACAATTAAAAATATCCCAAAATTATGATGTTTTGATGTTTTCTTTTCATTTTTTCCACTGTTACCAAAGTGTGCTTTACTACTTCAAACAGCAGAACTAACAGAACCTGCTTTTTTGCAGTGTTGTCTTGTGTTTAAATTAGCTGACATCTTGAGATAATAGTTTTGATGAAAAATTTTTGCAAGTGTAGGGTACACGTAATATCTTTTTGGTCTACCGTAAGAGTTGAATTCAACACTAAGTAGGATGAAGCGTCCAATGTACCCTGTGTTTGAGTTACAGGATAGCCTGGGTATCTGCTTTGCTGAGTGGGTCCGCTGTGAATGCCACATGTTTATTATATGTTGAGTGTTATGACTCTTGTACAAAACATGTCTGTCAATGTCATTTATTGGTGTCATTTATCCAGACTGGCACCAAGCTGCTATAGATRGGCCTTGGTGTTTTTCCCTCAGTACTGTTGTTTCCACGGGAGCTCTCCATGCTCTTCTGGGAACCGCAGGCTGATGCTGCAGCCCATGTGGCCGTGGTGGGGAGAAGGACAGGGATTACTGTGTCCAAGACTTTGACCATTATAAGGTAGCAAGAAAAAAGAAACGTGGAACATTTGGGCTTCAGTGTTGATGCTCTGATCCAGCCTGCATGTGCATCTGCAGCAGCATCACTGTGTATGTGGGAAAGTACTGTGCCTTCCATGCTCTGGTCCCTCACCCTCAGGGTCCTTTGGATAACTGGCCCTCTGGCTGAGCTGTGGGATGGGTACTTTGGGAACTGGTGATACTGAGTGTTATGAATACTTATCTCTTCATTCYGAACTTCTCATTATGCCAATCCAGGACTTTCTGCTGTAAACAGACAGGGCTGTGATACATGCAAGGCACCTTTGCCCCCTTAGGACAAGAGCAGCACTGGGTGTTGTATGGAAAATGCTGGGGCTATTTGCATTCCACAGAGGGTTTCCAGGTGAAGGCAGAAAATGTGTTTCTTTTTAAGCTCTTGTTTACTTCACAGCTCTTTTTTTTTTTTTAAGTACTAAACCAACTGTGGTTCTTCTGTTTAGCTCAGTGACTGCAGAGAATGTTATGGCTCCTCTGGACAACAGCTTCACTCAGCTAATGAATGAAGAAGGTAGCTCCAGTACCTCCCTAAGGTACAGATGCGATACATATGCCTCTTATCACAGAGTGGTGGAGGTTGGAAAGGACCCCTAGAGATCATCTAGTCCAACCCCTGCTCCAGCAGGGACACCCAGAGCACGGGGCACAGGGCGGCATCCAGGTGGGTTTGGAGACCTCCAGAGGAGCCTCCACACCTTCCTGGGCAGCCTGTGCCAGGGCTCTGTCACCCTCACAGTTGAGGTTTACTTCTTTTTCCCAGAGCATTGTTCACTTTGTGGCTGTTGGCACTTGYCCTATCGTTGGCCACCACTGAAAAGATTCTGGCCCCGTCCCCTTGACACCATCCCTTGTACTGATGAGATCCTGCTCGGCCTTCTCTGCTCCAGTCCAAACAGCCCCTGCTGTCTCAGTATCTCCYAAGAAGAGAGATGCTGCTGTCCTGTCATCATCTTGGCAGCCCTGCACTGTGTTCTCTGTGTGCTCCATGCCTGCCCGGAGCCCCGCCAGGTCCGYGCAGAGGGCAGGATCTCCCTCCCCGTGCTGGTGCTGCTGCCTGATGGCCGCACGGGCACTGCTGGCTCCCGGGGCCCACCAGTCTGCCCAGCTCCTCCCGCTCAGAGCGGGTCCTGCTGTGTAGGGTCGTGCTGGCGCCTGGGGCCGCTCCTCCCTCGGTGCGGGACCCTGCGCCTCGTTGTGGCAGTGAACAGGACTAACAGGAGGAAACGTCAGCCTGTGGCCGGTRCACGGGGACTCCCTCTTGGCTCGTTTTGGTAGTTTCATGACTGCTCCCGTGTGTGTTTTTGCCGTGGTTTCTCACAACTGGACTCGGGTTTTCTCGTCTCCTCRGCAGTGCCAGGAGAGGGAGCATTTGCCACACGGCGCTCCGCTCCATCCCGCAGCAGCTCCGRCCGCTCGGCTCCCTCATCCCGGCCTGCAGCCGCCCCAGCGCAAAGCCCCGCTCTGCGCCCGGGCCCACAGCTGGGCCCATGGCTGGGCCTACGCCTGTGCCCATGGCTGGGTCCACAGCCGGGCCTACGGCTGGGCCCACGCGGGCTGGATGCGGGGCAAGACCTGCCCCCGATCCGCCTTTCCTCCCTTCAGGGGCGAGGGAATAGGCGGGCTTGTGCAACGAGGTCCTTGTCTGCCCCTCGCCCAACTTCACCCGTGACTCCGCACACCAGGGCCAAGGGACTCGGGTTCCCACTGCCCCACCAAAATCATGGAAGCATTATGCATTTCCAGGGCAAGAAGTGCATGGTTCAATCATATGGAATTGTATGTATGTCACAGGACATTAAAAAAAGGTCTTGCCAGCCAGCTTTTTTTTTTTTTTTTTTTCCCTTGGTGCTTCTCCAGTACCTCTGGCATAATAAAAATAACCATTTTTAATATTTTTGGCTGGGAGAAATGCAGAAATGAAATTTTATTTGAATCTGGGAAGATTTTCTGTACTGTAGAGTAGGCTTTCTCAAATAGCCTTTTTTTGTACTTTGTGTGGAGTTCTGTAAATTCTGCATTTTTTATGCCTATTTCAGAAAGAACAGCTGTTACCTTCTAGGGTTTGTTATACCATATGCCCCCAGAGAGTATGTTTAGAAATTTCCAAAATCTAGATGAAATGCATGACATATTGTTGTAACGTTTAAATATAGTCCAGGATGATTTTTTTTTTTTTTTGTGTGTGTGTGTGTGTGTGTGTGTGTGTGTTAAGCAGGATTTTCCCTCTTTTGTTGCAGGATAATTTTGGCTTGCCAGGTTCCAAAATAAAAGCATATGTAGCAGTGTCATTTTCTTCCAGAGTCACAGGCCATGGGACTGTGTCAGGCATCTGTTCATTGATGGTAAAGAGCCTTGCAAGAAAACCTACTCAGAAGCTGCTGTTTAAATTGGTTTGAACCAGACCTTGGGATCACTAGGACATAGCACCAAAGCCTACTTACAAATTTGAGCTTGATGATACTTACCAAAATTGCAACAAAATTTTCATCAAAAATTTCATGAAAATGGGTCTTTTTAATCTTCTATTACAACACTGCTTTTCTCTCAAATTATTTTCTCCAACCTCACTGCTGCTTTCCCTGCCAACATGAGTGAAGAAAAGACTTGAATATTAGAAAAAATGAGGAACTTTTAAAACTGCAATTCCTGAGTTGCGCTTCTGTTGATGTAATTTAGACAGCATTTTAGTTCAAAGGTTCTTTATCATGTGGTAGCTACTGTAAAAACTTGGCCATGTTACATCAGTTCCCGCAGTGATGACTCAAAAGTGTCTCAATTCCCGTTTTCTTGTAGGCCTGGAGTCCCTAAGCCTGGCTGCTTAGACTTATGTTTGGATTTCTTGCCACATCAAGGGAGATTATATGCATTTATGAAGTGTTTCCAACATTTAAAGTCAATGATTGACAAGATTAACAGACTGAAAGCCATGAAAGCTCAAAGGAATGAGGTTTACTTACAGAAATCAGCAGATAAGGGTTACCTTTGTTTTGGGAACATTGTTGTCATTGTTGTCCTTCAGCAGTGTGAATACAAACTAAGAATAACAGAAACACCATCTCTCAGAGAATTAGCACAGGTTTTTCCCAGATTAGAGTCAATATAAGAAATTTTCCAGCACTGAAACTGTGCCTTTTTGTTTTTGTTTTTTTAAGGGGACTGTTTCTTGGCTTGAGGGTCTTGCTTATGCGCTTGGAGCTTATGCTGAAGGAAGGAAAGGAGACCTTGCTGGCTGCATGGGAACAGTACTGTTGAGCACCTTGAGACAGCTGTATGTGTAGAAAGTTTTGTTTGTTCAGTCCATATATTGGCTTAAAATTTCCTTCAGAGAAAAGGAAAAACACAGGAGAGGAAAAGAAGGGGAAAGCTCCATAGTAGCCTGCCAAAATGCAAAGCAATGGGGTCTCCAGAGAAGTGTCTCTCCCAATATCTTAACAAGGCAGTGTGGTGAGGATGATGACGACATCGAGGTTTCTTCTCGCCAGGGTTTTACCCATTTAACCTTAGGCTTTGCATTAAGATCTAGTCAGACCTCTTGTTGGTTGTTCCTGTTCACGGTGGCGCCTGTCCTGGTTGGGGGACACTGAATCACTCACAAACTGTGCACACAGGCTGGGCTGTTTAAAACATTAAACTTCAGGTGCACCTGTGGGTAATAATTACAGGCTATTTAAACAATCAYTATCTATATTATTTGCTAAGTCTTGTTTATTCCCTAGTATAAACAAAAGGTAGAAGATGGGAAAGGAAGGGGGAAGCCAGGAAAAGATCCTTGCGCAGTGAGCCAATACTTCTCATGGGAAAAGATTTAGTAGCTGTATTACCATTTTCAGGTGCAAAGTCACGAGAATAATAGCACAAAGGGCAACAGGGTAGGAATGAAAAGGGAAAATACTGATGCAGTGACTTGGGTGCAAGGCTGCAGAGCTGAAAGGCTGGCTCTGGGAGTCCCTTGGCCATACAAAAGTGAAGGGACTAGCACACATCTCTGTGCAGCAGCACATGCTGTGTGGGACAGATGCAGTGTTTGTATGTATAAATTATCATCACTTGTATGTACAAATTATCATCACTAGATTGGACTCAGAACCAKGTGCATTAAGAACCACACAGCCTGGTGAGGAGGTAAAAAAGGTACAAAAGCACGTTGCAGAAGCTGCAATTTCTCCMTAATATGGTTGCATTTATGTACTCAAGCTGGTTCTCTAAAATTTCTCAAATACAGCCTGTAACTTTGGGCTTCTTTTCCTGTCCTTGCGCCTGCAGAACATCAGCTTTTTCATCAGTGCATGACAGCGTAGCAGAGTGTAAGATAACTGACGTATCACTCTCTTTATTCTTTATTTATTATCTTTGTCCTCATGGTGTGTG